CACATTTTCAATTGATAAAACTTGTATAAAAATTTGATCCCCTCATGTTAAACTTCCAAAAAAGTTTAACATGTTAATTATAAAATATTAATTAAGACAGTAAAAACTGTTTTTCGAAATAAAATATAAAATATAGATTATTAAAAACACTTTAATAATATACTGTTTTTTTTATTAAACAGTTTAATGAAAAACAGTTTGATAAAAAACAGTTTAATAAAAAAAAATTTAAACTTGCCTAAAAGTTTAACATGTTACATTTAATAACAATTTATAAAATTACCACCCCTCATATTAAACTTACACGCAGTTTAATATGTTTTACACATTTTCAATTGATAAATGTATAAAAATTTGATCTTCTATTATGATTAGACTAACATTTAAAAATATAAATTAATATATTTTAGATGAGCAATGAACAATCAACCTCGCGTACCCGCCCAAACTATGTGCCCTTAACCGAAGCTGAGCGCAACAATGAAAATGCGCTTTGGGTGACGCCCCACATGGTTGCGAAGTAAGTAACTATGAATTTTATCTAACGTGAAATAATTTTTTCAATGTATCATAATGTAATCAAAACTTTTATAAATAAATAATATTAATTTTTTGAAGCGATCAAGAAGTGTTGGACCAAATCAAACTCATAATCGGAGGACACTTTCTTGGGAACTGGGCAACATACACGGAAGTTGACCCCAAGGTTCGTGAACTTTGGTGGAACCTTTTCAAGGTAAAAAAAAATGAATTTTCTCTGCGTAATTGTATTAACGTAACATTTGATAAAAGATAAATTAATTTATTTGTTTTTTATAAAGGGTCGGTTTCGATGGACTGAAGCCCAAGGTCCCGCTATTCTTAGAGCGTATAACGCTAGGATTTCAAACTGGCTTCGTCCTACTTTTAGGCGTGCCCGATCGAGCGGGGTAAAGCCTGGATGGTGTTCGGACGAGGTGTGGGCTAACCTCGTCCGTCACTGGTCTTCTGATCCAAACTTCTTGGCAAGAAGTCAATCCGGTAAGAAAAACCGGATGTCCGAGAAGGCCTTAGAAACCCAATGGCATGGGGGCCGCAAACCTCAGAGTAGACATAAAGAAGATCTTGTAAGTATTTTTCAAAAAACCTTACACAATTACAACCCTTCATTTTAACATTTAATTATGGATCTTAAGCCTTTTTTCCATACTGTAGTCGGGGCCTGAGAAGAAGAAGGTCTCAATTCTCAAGGTCATCAAGCACTGCTAGACAAAGCACGGCGATGAGTCCGATGCCGATCTGCCACCCCGCCTCGCTAAAATCGAAGTAAGTAACATTATTTTGTTACTTATTTCCATTCAAAATCAAATTGAGTAACATTAAATTAACAATTTTTGTACATTTAGTCGAAGTATAACACAAATGTTGAGAAGAGGCGGGCAGAATTAGGCTTGACTCAGGAGGATGAGATTGATTCTGATGTGGAGGATGATGCCATCTTTGAGGCAGTTGGGGTGTACAAGGGCCGGGTCCCGTGCATGGGGGCTGAGGGGCAACGGATCTTGTACGACCGCAGCGGCGCTTCATCTTCCCGATCAAGGCGCGGAGAGGATCCGCGTATCGCTCAAATGTAGCGGGAGATGGAGGAGCAGCATCGGGCCTTGGATGAGCAGCAGCGTTGCTTGGAGGAGCAACGCAAAAAAGAAGAAGAAACAAGGGCCCAGCTGGAAGCGATGGAACGGATCCTCAGCGCCGGAATTCGGAATCAGCCTCAGCCTCAGCCGTATGTACTGCACCCCGAGCAGACTCTTCAAGTTCCGCACATGGGCGGTTATTTCCGTTCCAACTCTGCTACCGGGTTGCCTTCATTTGGTTCTATTCAGGATATCAATTTTCACAACCTGTTTCAAACATCTGGAGGCAGCCAAGCAGGTGGCAGTCGCGGAGGTGGCAGTCGCGGAGGAGGCAGTCGCGGTGGCAATCGAGAAGGCCAAGCTGGAGACAACCGAGAAGATGAGACCGAAGAGGATTATCTTTATGATGATTCTAGATATTATCATAATGGTAGCCGGAGGAGCTTGTAAATGATATACATTTTTAATTGAACATTGTTTATTTACTATAATTCTATTGTGCTTATTATTACTTTTATTTCAGTCTGTTTGGTTATGAAATGTGTGTTCTAGTAGTCTGTTTATTACTTTTATTCTACAAATTTTTTTTTATTACTTTTATTCTACAAATATTTTTTAAAATAAACTTTTCTAAAGAAAATTTAAAAATAAATTTATATTTTTATAAAACAATTTTTTTTAAAAAAAATAAAAAACTTTAGTCACGGATCTGAGCCGTGACTAAATTCTAGACCGATTTTTTAAAAGTTATTTTACAAATTTAAAAAAAAAATTTAAAAAATAAAAACGTAGTCACGGATCGAGTCCGTGACTAAATTTTAAATTTTGAAAATTTAAACCGTAACATTTGGCGGTTTATTTTCAAAATTTGAAAGTTTAGTCACGGATTGGTCCGTGACTAAATATAGTCACGGAATAGGGCCGTGACTAAGTCGCCGGTGCAGTTATTCCGGTGACAAGTTAGTCACGGATACGGTCCGTGACTAAGCCGTGACTACGCTTAGTCACGGATAAAATGTCTGTGACTAGAATTAGTCACGCCCAAACAGTCACGGATTTAGTCACGGACTTTGTCCGTGACTAGCAGAGTTAGTCACGGATTTTTTATACTACGGTCCGTGACTAAATCCGTGACTAACTCCGTGTTTTTTTGTAGTGATTTCAAGTTTAGAGCTCGTTTGATAGTACTCAAATTGGATAAATCGATTAATTCGAATAAAATCTATGAAGTTATCGTTGAAATGGCTAGATTGATCGATTCTGCTAAATTATGGAAAAATACATTTCAAATATATTTTATGAATAAAATAAAGAAAACAATGTATGAAAAATATTTAAAATGGTCCTCTATAAAAACTTTTGTCAATTTAGTTAGAAAAGTAATTTCATTCTTACTTATTGTGATTATTATACAATTCAGTGCATGAAATAAAAAATTATGTGTTTGTTTAAAAAATAGATTGATATGCTAAAAACAGAGTTATCAAACGGGCACTTAATCTCCAAAAATGGCATTGTGTTAAGTGCACCAAATTCTGAGCCATCTTACTCCAAAATAGATTTGGATTATACGGGGCGGCCCTGGGGTAGGGAGCGGGGCTCTTATTCCCAAAAAAATGAAAAAAATTATGCCCACATTTATTTCCGTATAAAGGTGTGAGTAGACTGATTTTTCAGCTCTAAACTAATACTACCTCCGTCCCACTAAGATTGGGACGAGAGAAGGTGGCACGATTATTAAGAAAAGTGAGTTTGTGTGGTTGATATTAAATTGATAAAGTAAGAATAAAGTGAGAATGATTTAGAGCCACACAATCTTTACCAAATTTTGTATGGGACAATCCTAGTGATACTTCTCAAAACGGTAAAATGAGACCATTTTAGCAGGACGGAGGGAGTAATAATTTGGAATAAATTTTTTAAAAATTTATGAGCATGTTCTTTATAAAATGTAGATTATGTTCATAAAATTTCAATTTCAAATTCAATATGGATGTTAGTTAAATAAAGGGAAAGTTCCCGAAATAGGACTAAAACAGTTTAAAAATTCCAAAATAGGACTGTCATGTTTTTCCGAAAATAGGAGTAATTACTGCCAAGTTTGGAAAATGTTGTCATGTTGAAGTCTGGTATTGCCAAAACATGGCAGTAATTAGTCCTATTTTTGAAATAAAACCATGACAGTCCTATTTTGAAATTTTCAAACCTTTTTAGTTCTATTTCGGGTAATATTCTCTTAAATAAATTATTAAAAAATATTTTTAAATATTGAACTATATACTATTAAACATTATCTACATTTAAAGAAAAACATGTTCACAAAAATTTATTATAAAAACCACGCAGATTAGTCATACGATAGTATATGATTACTTCATTAGTTTATTTGATTAGTCATAATTGATTATTAAATTTCTTACTTATTGATTGATATCTATTGAGTTTTGGGGTTTTAGTTTGTTGATTTTGTTCGCCAAAAATTTAAATTTATAAATTTAATCAATTTCAAGGTGTAATAAAAATGATTGAATTTGAATAGGAAAAAAAAGAGGAGAATATCATAGAAAGAGTTCAATTGAAAAAATTACTAGTACTTTATTAAATAGGTCAAATTCTAAATGTTCTCCTCCCGATGAAAACTCAGAGAAGGAAAATGATTTAGCTATCGAAAATGAGATGATTCATAACGATCGCATCATTCGACAGGAAGTTTAGACATTTATAATAACAGAGTTAATTTCTTAAATAAAAAAGAACATTGGTAAAATCTACAAGTAGAGCCGTTATTATTTCCTTCCTAAATAAAGATCATCATTACTATAATATTATTGATATAGACAGAAGAGGGTTTTAGAAATTTTTATAAATGTTTTGAAATACTATTATTATTATTATGATTATTATTCTTATTTTACATACTACGTATTAGTTTAGTCTAAAATAGTTTAGTCTAAAATGGCTTATCGGTGGCTAGCAGGGCCGGCCCAGAGGGAGTTTAGGGTGTGCGACCGCACAGGGTCCAAAAAATTGGAGGGCCCAAAATAAAATTTTTTGTAGTAGTACTACTTCTCTACTAATGTAATAATGTATGATGAATTGATGAAATAATGAAATTTAACAAGTTTGGTTGTTATTTAGAATTAAATGTAATTAGTTGATGAGTTAATTAGGCTATTTATATTTAATAAATTTATAATTGCTGCAGCTATGTTTTAAGAACATCTTTTTGTCGATCAATATTTATGTCAGAAAGGAAGGCCCAATTTTTTTTATTGCACAGGGCCTCCATTTTCTCAGGACCGCCCCTGGTGGCTAGGGGGCCCAAGGATTTCACTTTGCAGATGACAGTCTATTATTTTTTCAGCCCAGTCTTGATGAGGCATCTGTTGTTAAGGCAATCTTGATGGAGTATGAGAAGGCTTATGGTCAGGCAATATAGGGAAGGGCTGGCTGAGATGTTGGGAGTGGGTATGGCCGATTCAGGAGAAAAATATCTGGGATTACCAGCGTTTGTGGGAAAAGAAAAGAAGGAAATTCTTGGTTATTTGAGGCAAAGGGTTATTAATCGAATCCAAAATTGGAATAATTAGTTCCTGTATGATGTCTAGGGCCGGGAGGGAGGTGCTGCTTAAGACAGTTATTCTAAGCGATGTCCACCTATGTCATGAATGTGTTTCTTTTACCAAGAGAACTATGTCGAGAATTAGAGGTTATTATGAATGGATACTGGTGGAATGGCGGGAATGGCAGAGGAATCAGGTGGTGGGATTGGGGCTGGTTAAGCAGGCCGAAGAAGTTGGGAGGTTTGGGTTTTCGGAAGCTTGGAGAATTCAACATCTCTATGCTCGCTAAACAGGCGTGGAGGCTTTTTTCTGAGCAAGATACTTTAGTGGGGAGAATCTTTAAAGCAAGATACTATCCCGGTGGTAATTTTTTGACTGCTAAATTGGGTTCTAACCTCTCTTTTGTGTGGAGAAGTATTTTTTAGGCCCAATGTGTGATTAAAGAGGGATACGTGTGGCAAATTGGCAATGGCAGATAAATTAATATATGGAACGACCCCTGGCTCCAGATAACCCGTATGTGTCTTCTGAAGTCATTGCAGGTTTGGAAAATGTGACGGTAGAGGGGCTGATTTCACAGCAGGAGCAGACCTGGGACATGGATATTTTAGAGGATCTCTTTAATACAAGGGATAAGGATGTGATTAAAAGCATCCCTTTTAGTGTGAGAGAGGTATCGGACAGGAGGATTTGAAGGTGGGAAGTAAATGGCAGATTCTCTGTTCGAAGCTGTTATCGGAGATTATAGGTGAAGCTCATCCCGACGGGTGGTTAGGGTGGACGGAGTTTTGGAATGGAAACTTCCACCCAAAATAAAATCTTTTTTCTGGCAACTTTGTACAGACAACTTGCCAACCACGAGGAACTTACGTCGGCGGAGGGTAAACTGCGTGGAGAGATGTGGTTTGTGTGGTGCAAATGATGAATCATGTCTCCATCTATTTGTCAGATGCCCGGTGGCTGTTGAGGGCTGGGTTTCTGTTGGATTGGGTTCAATTGGAGCTGCAGGGATGAGTTTCTTACACTGGCTGGAGGGGTTTTTTTTTACAAGGAGGAAAGCAGAGTTGGAGACTGTTGTGTGGGGATGCTGGGGGCTGTGGGCGGAGAGAAATGCACGGATTTGGCAGCAGACCATGCTGAGTGCTCCTCAGGTTATGCGCAAGTCCAGGTGCTATGTAGAGGGTTGGCTCCAGGCACAGAAGCTAGGGAATTCTGGAGACATCAGGAGGGAAGAAGGAGTTGTGCTTTGGCTGCTTCCGTCGTCGGGCTGGCAGAAACTAAATATTGATGCAGCTCGGAACCAGAACGGGAGCGGATATGGGTGGGTGCTTCGTAATGACCATGGAGAGTTTGTGGGGGAGGGGCAAAACCCGGAATTATTGAGCATCCCGGAAGCTCTGAGCTGGTGGGATTTCATAGAGGTTGAATCTGATGCTTCTCAAGTTATCTCGGAGATTCAGAATGTGTAAGTCTGTCTGCAATTGGTATTCTAGCTGAGGATATTCGTCATATTAGTCAAAGGTTTTCTAATATTTCCTTTACTTTCGTTAGACGTTCAGCGAACAAGGTTGCTTATGCATTGACTAGAGTAGCTAGTTCTTTGTCTGGAGGTCGCATATGGTTGGGTGTTCCCCAAATTGTATTTGTGATGTTTGTGCCAAGTAGATTATTTTCCTTCAAAAAGATTAGACACGTTTTAATTCTTTGCCGCTAAGTTTTCAAATATGCTGGACCGGATATTATAACACGGTTTACTCCTTCACTAAAAAAAATAAAAAAAAAATTACACTTCATCCCTTAAGCTTTTCAGGACTGATCAAACAGTTATCTAAATGTATATAATTAAACTTTGATCTCATTCTGATTGAGTGAGGCTTCATCCCAAGTTATAGCTCGAAATTGCACCCGGAACTTCTCCCTTCACGATTTAGGATGTTTTCTTTTGAATTGAAATTTGCTGATCTGATTTGTTCTGGTTAGAACCGGTCTGGTAAACCTTTGGTTTCTGTGTATTTTTGCTCAGTTGCTCCTTCCCTGTTTGGCCCGGAAGTTTCCTAGTCTGCTATTCCGGGTTGGGTGTGGGGCACCAGCTGTCCACCGGCAAACTTTTTGGACTTTGATACTGGCAATGGAGAAGTGTCTCATCAATGGCGACACTTGGATCATCAAAAAATTTATGGATTTTCAATTTTATTATTATCATTCTTTTATCACTTCTTTTTCACATAAAATTAAGTTTATACTACGTATAAAATCTCCTAAACAAAATCCACCGAGATCACATATGTATCAGACAATAAAATTAACAAAATCGAATTCAATCCATTAATAATAAATGATGCTACCTTAAAAGATCTAAGAAAAATCGAAGTTACATCTAGATGCTATAAATCAATCTTCAGAGGCGCATACTACACTACCATCATCGCCGTCGAATTCCTCTCGGATGGAGAAAATCATCGACTTATGCCTCCGCTGCGCGATGCCGCCGGTTGCGGCGGATACGGTGGCCGGGGAAGAGCACGGTGATGGCGATTGGGAGGCGGAGGCGGAGGCGGAGGCGGAGGCGGCGAAAGCCAGACACCCCTCGCTCCAGGAACGTCGGATGGGGTACGACACGTGGGTGTACTTGGAGGAGGAGGAATGCGAGCAATGGCCACGCGATTTGTGCAACGCGCAGCCGCAGTTCTTATGGTAGGGGCGGCGCTGGATGCCGGTGTCGTGCCCGGCGATGCTGGCCTCGAACATCCCGCGTAGTAGTCCGTCGCCGGCTGCTCCGGCGGCCATCTCCGCAACCGCACGCGCTCCCCGCCGCGTCTATATATACCTCTTGAGAATCGAATTGAATTTTTCTTCACAATTATACGGAGTTTATTTAATTTATGCTTTTTGGAATGAAATTTTTTAGGAGAGATGGAGGAGAAAGAGGGTTAAATAAGAAAGAGGAGAGAAGATGGGTAAGCTATAAGCGGCGTAGCTGAGCTAAATAAATAGGGCGAAAAGGAAGAAGGTGGGGAGGTGGTGGTTATTATGACGGTTTAATTAGCTAAACTGATTTGTCGCCGCCGTGTGCGGGACTTTTAATTTCCTAAAGGGAAAAGGGTTTGCCGTTATGCATCATTGGAGTTAATTAATACCCGGTCATACCCAACTGTGTTTTACACTCGAACTAATTTTTCATCAGTATAAGTGTTTTATAAAAAGGAAAAATGGAAACTAATAATCCAACCTTTTAGCGGTCTTCTTTCAATAATCTCACCTTTTGATTATTCATGAATAATCCAACCTTTGCACCTCATCTTCATTCACTGGTCCCTGACCGGTTGATGACCTGCTATTCCAAGCTATTTTCTTATCTTTGCAAATCATTATACCATAAATCTCATCTTTCACAAAGATAATATTTTGGAAAGATGAGAAAATAATTTGGAATAGTAGGTCATTAACCGACCAGGGACCAATGAATGAAGATGAGGTGCAAAGGTCGGATTATTCATGAATAATCAAAAGGTGGGATTATTGAAAGAAGACCGCTAAAAGGTTGGATTATTAGTTTCCATTTTCCCTTATAAAAAAAAGGATGACTCCACATCCCTCAGAGCCCCCCAACACCGACCGGACGGCACGATGGGAGAATGTAAATTGGATTAGAATTACAATTTGACAGATAGAGAGGGGCTCTGTCCCCGGTACTTGCAGAAGCTCTATGTATTTTTCAGCATAGTAACCCCTCATCGCAGCAGTATAAGTGTTTTATAGGAATTACCAAGTATTGCTTCAGTTCAACTAACATTGGGATTTGGGGTATGAGAATGTCACCAGGTTATTAAATTGAATAAAGTCAGAATAATTTAGAACTATACAAACTTTACTGAATTGGATTTTTGGCAATCTTAATGGGACGGACTGAAAAAGAAAGATTGGAACAATCTTAACGAGACGAAAGGAATATATTATTGGAAAGATTTAGAAAACTAGTATGAGACATCTTTTACAAAATGTTAATGGATAGGTATGTATTGCACTGGAATTAGAATTATTGTCAAGTTGAATCCCAACACAATACATATTTGATTTGATCATATCTTTTGTCCTTCATATTTTGGTTAGTTGCTTTACTTTTTGTTTTGATTTGTGTCAAAATGAATTTCATTTTTCATTTTCCCTGAATGTAGAGTGCTCTTGTTCGGTAGTTGTTCCGCATCTCTTAAAGGGTCCTACTAATTTGAATGAAAGACCAATTGCTAACAATAAAACCAATAATAAACGAAGAAGAAAATAAGTTAACTATATAGAAATGGTTTGATATAGAATCAAAACATACTCTTAGTGAAAAAATATGACTAAGTATATTTTATTCCCCAAATAGTACTTATTTAGTCCTACTAAAAGAATAAATCTATGTTGCTTGGAAACGCGAAAATTATGAAGAAACGGGAAACGACAATTTTTGTTCAAAAAACAACCATTTGGAGATTTCACTTTTCCGAAAGGAAACATACTCTTTTCCGAGAATTTCCATGTTACGTAGGAATAAATTGATTGAAGCTTGAGATATTACCCGAAATAGGACTAAAAGAGTTAGAAAATTCCAAAATAGGACTACCATGTTTTTATTCTCAAAATAGGACTAATTACTGTCATGTTTTGGCAGTACCAGACTTCAAACTTGACAGTATTTTCCAAACTTGGCAGTAATTACTCCTATTTTGGGAATAAAAACATGGCAGCCCTATTTTGGAATTTCCAAACTTTTTTAGTCCTATTTAGAAACTTTCTCTTAAACTGGTATATTTTAGTTTGGAATTAGTTTGGTTAATAATGAAAATTTTAAATAATAAATATAGAATGTCTCGAATCTAGTAGTGAGGTGGGTCAATGATTGGGCTTGACCGATTCCAGAAGGCGACGACGCCTGAATCTTCCTATGCCATGCTAACTTGCTAAGCTAGTAAATAACGTGTTGAGCACTGGCGCATGCTGCCTCAGCTCTGTCTAAAGCGGTGCCGGGTCCATAATAACAACCTACTACTATTACTTTTCTGTATTAATGCTAATTAATTAAATTTTTACGAAAATATGGTTGGGTAAAAGTATTACCGATATACTATTGGACTTATCCCTGGTCGGAGTAAGTCGCCAAACGGTTGGGCGACTTATAAGTCGCCATCCGGTTTGGCGACTTATGAGTCGCCCAACCGTTTGGCGACTTACCTATTAAATAGGCAGACGGGTTGGTTCTAATAATATAATATTTAGGGATTACTTTGTAATTCTTCATAACTCTGTTATTATAAATATAAGATTAAGGCACCCAATAGGGTAAGCCATTATTCCCCAATTATATTTTCGTATATGGTATCAGTAGTCTAGGTTTTCCATTCTCTTTCACGCTACACCATGGCCGGTCTTCCTCGTACTGCCGTCATGACCTCGGCGCCCTTCCAGCAGGAGCAGCCGTCCTCCACATGACTCAGTTCTTCCCAGACTATTATCGCGACCTCCTCAGCGCCCATTTCAACGGAGCAGCGAATCCCGTTAAGTCTCGATCGTGCAATAGGCGGAGGTTCTTCCATTGAAGAAGGTTCCAGCAGTGCAGTTCGTTCCAGCCCTTTTTCCTCGCCGCTGGTTCCATCAATTCGTCACCAGATGACAGACATTCCGTCGCTGGACGCTTACAATCTCTTTAACATGCCGCCGCCGTTCACCTGGACTCCGACAGCCAGTCTTCCTCCACCGTCGGTGATGAATGTTCCAGCAGCTGGTCCGTCCGCTGTGAGATTTGCTGGGCCGACTTTCACTACCCCAACACTCTCACATGTTCAACCGCAAGCACAGGCTCTGGCCGAGACCAACTCTGCACATCTCCCAGGTTCCTTATCAGTTTTGTCTTCCCAATTAACGTTCTCAACGCCCAATGTGACTAATATTGTTACCACCCGACTGTCTGTCGTTGAGGATTACATGCCATGGCGTACCCAATTTGAGTCCTTCCTGATATCTCACAGTCTCATTGGGATACTAGATGGCTCAATTCGAGTACCGCTTGTTACTGATCCAGACTATCCCCACTTGTTGAAAATAAACCAAACGGTTAGATCTTGGATTTTTGCTACTTTGGCTAGGGATATTTTGATGGAAGTATGACTTGAAACATTCCTATCTTATCTGGGAGCGTCTTGAATCGCATTTTATGTCTGCCTGTTTTGCTCGGTCTGTTGAACTTAAGCGGTCGTTGTCACACATTAAAAAGAAAGAGTCACAGACCATGGATCAATATTTGTTAGAAATCAAGTTGAGTGCTGATGCTCTTGCTATGATTAATTCTCCTGTTGGTAACCGTGATTTAATGGAGTATGCTATTTTGGGATTGGGCCGTGAGTTTGAACACCTTATCACGACTATATCTTATTTTCCTGCGAATGTTACACTTGAATCTCTGCGCCCGATTCTTCAAGCACAGGAGAACCGGTCCACTTCCAATCCATCTCAGGACCAATTCCATGTTCATCAGGCATCTTCGTATAGGTTCTGCCAGACAGAACGCAAAACATTCCCCCAAATCCCCCAAAGCTGCAGCGACGAAGGACGAACGACGAGTGGACGAGAGCCACCTCCAACTCCGACGAACCTCCATCTCCAGCGACGCCACCTTGCCAAGGTCTCTCCACCTCCATCTTCTTCAACACTCTTTCTTCTAGGTAAATGAAACTCCATTTCATCTCATTTTGAAGTTAGGGTTTTGAATGTTAAAATTTTCGAATTTATAGATTATGAATTGATTTGTTGTGAAATGTGGATATGTATGAAATGTTGAAATTTTATATTAAATTGATTGTAAATTTTAATGTGCATTTTGACATTTGGGTAGATTTGAATGTAGCTAAATTTGGGTATTGAAATGTAGACTTGAATGTACATATCAAAATTTGGGTATTTTGATATTGAAATGTGAATTTTATTGTGAATTTTGACATTTGGGTATATTAGAATGTAGCTAATTTTTTTATTGAAAATTTGAATGTGTATAAAGTGTGTATATTAATGTGTACTCATGAAAGTTGGACATGTATTGTTATTAGAATATGGATTTCTCCAACTTTCCAATCGTGTGTCATTGGGGAGGGAACTATTATGAGGATGTTGGGCAAATACGCCATGAAGGTGGTAGAAGCAGCTTTGTGATTGTTTCTCGTGGCGCATGTTTGCTCGAGATGCTTCAAAAAATACATGTTGCTATAATGATTCCTCTGAGCCGTTCTTTGCGATTGAAAATGAAATTTCCCCTTAACGGGGGAAATTTCATGCTTATGCCACTTATTGATGAGCTAGCTATCACAAATATGTGGTCAATAATTCATATGGAGAGTATGTCCTCGCTGGAGATTTACATTGAGGAATCCATAGGTGACTCTTCTACAGCTCCTCAAATGCTGCTGTACTGGACATGGTTATAGAGGAAGAGGGTATGTATTTGCACAATGGTGCATCGTTTGTGGATGGGCAGGGCAGTGATGATGATGCTGACGAGAACATCAATGGTGATGACATGACAAAATCTGATGAAGACGATGGTGATACTGTCACGGAAACTACCCCGTCTAGACACTTTACTAGAATATATGATCTCCCTGAAGGCTTTACTGATGCGTGGATGAGTGGAGGTTTTATGAAAAGGTTTACACCCGAAGGTGAGTTTGAGGTTGGTCAACAGTTTGACAACAAAGAAAAAGTCATCAATATGGTGAGCTTGTATTCTATCAAACGAAACCAATTTTATCGGGTGCTGGAGTCCGATAAACACAAATGGGTGGCAGAGTGCAAGAAGAAGAAAGAACGTGATTGCCCCTGGAGAATACGCGCCACAAAGAACAAAGGCAACCTCGACAGTTTCACAGTTGTGCGTTATCCTGGACCTCATTCTGCTACCTGTGTTGGCAACACCGACAGTACTGATCA